ATAATAAACAGGAAACTCAGTGAATCCTAATGAAGAAGTCTTCCCAAAGTTAAGGTAGTCTCTGGTGACTCCCAGGCCAAATCTTCAGGGGTCTGTGCCCCACTAGAGCTGTCCTGGGATTGGGGAGAAGCCAAGGGCGTGTGGTAACTGCTCAGAGCTGGGCTGGTTGGAGGCACAGGTAGGTGACTCATGATGGCTGACTGCAGTAGGAGCTCTTGGACAGCCCATGGCATCATTGCATTTAATCAGGGCATCAGAATGACCTTGATCCATAGGTCTTTTAACTCCTAACTTCCAATTGATCACTAGAGTTCTTAAGATGGATGATCAATCCACAGCCAAGAAAGGTATAAAAAATAATATTGAGTCTCAGTCACCCTGACAAACAAGCAGGGCAAGAGTTACCCAAATTTACACATTAGATGAGGAGTGAAGCCATTAGGCCCAGTGTTAGTAGTTGGAGAACCTCAACCAGCTATTTGGGCTCCTGAGCCTTGGCTGCTTTTGACCTTAACTGCTGCTCAGTGTGAAATTGGCATGTGTTCCACATGAGGCAGGACTGGCCTCCCATTGTTTTGGAAGGATCCCTGGCAGCCTGCTCCAGGGATACCACCAGCCTCTTATCATTTCTAAGAAGGCAGCTTTCTTCCATCCCTCCACCAAGGGCATTTCTTACTTGGATTGTGGAGGACCAGGACAGCCTAATCACTTAGCTTCTTCACATCTAATGTAGTTGAAGGGCTTTATGGCAACATGAATACAAGTTTCTGTTCAGTCCAGAAACTCTTAGGGGATAAAGTAAAACTCTGAAGAATGAAGCAGAAATGCATGCTTTCCTGTTATTTTTTAGTGGTGTGAAGAAGGCTGTGGAAGAGGCACCCGTAGACAGTTTCAACCCACTTTCTACCCAAAAGCACTGGGAGGAAAATGGCCCCAAAAGATGCTTTCTGACGACCTGCCCAGGAGCACCCATCTCCTGTCTGCTGTGCCAACTGCTGCTGGCACTTAGAACCCTTGAGATAGTATTGACAGCAGCTCCATGTGAAGGAGAAACACCATTTGAATTGCACCAAAGTGTGAACAAGCTAGCAATTAGAGACCTAAGTGAACTGGTCATAAAAGGCTTAGAAGTGACACTGACAATGTGGGACCCCTAGGCCTCTGCAGCCATGGGAGCCCACTGTGACTCCTGGCTTTGTGCCAAGCACTAGAACAGGCTCTCCGGCTCAAGTGGAGTTGATAAAGCCTTTCAATAGTAACGAGAGTGTGAAGTCACACTGCCCAGGTCCTCATGCTCAGCAGATGCTCAGGCTGCTGAAAGAGCCAAACATAAAACACAGACCTTTTTAAAACAAATAGATCTTTAATTAGTGGCAAGATCCTTGGTTTCCTGTTTTAAATAGAAACTGAAATGTCCACTGTTATCACTTCAACTCGAAAATGGAGCACTTGACAAGATTGTTTAGTTTGGTCGCTTAACGGAAGTATGATGGTGTCCAGCCACGCAAAATGACTGTTCCATCTGCCTTTTCAGTGTATTTGTGTGGCGATGTCTATAATGCTGGAAACCTCGTCGTTTTTTGCTGATGCTGCCACCACCCAGCAACGCAGAGGCAGTGACGGGGCACCTCCTCACCACCCGCCATGGGCAACACACTGAAGGGGTATGAGTGCCCCCACTCTGCGATCTCCAAAACTGTGATGCCAAGAAGGAAGGTCAGTTCTCAAATGTTAAGGCTGCTTGCCTCTGTTCCTGAGACTACACCTAAGTACATTGACAAAAAAATCCTATCCAATAATGTAGCCCACTAACAAAATTTAAAGCCTTGGTTACCCTTACCAATCAATATGCAGCTTTGAGTTTGCATCAAACCTTCTACAAAGATTAAGTTTTACTATTATGTTTCTATATACTTTAAAAACGTTCATTTTTACAAATTAGTTGGAACAAGACAGCTTAAGTTAGATGCACTGAAGTACCAGAAATATCGATAGCCTCTGTTCTCCACATTTAGCTTTCAAACCAAATGAGCCATGTATAAACAAGTTGAGAAACTTAATTTTTTAATATTTCATTTGCAGAGTTTTATATCCATTAAGTGCCTTTGAAAGTTTCCAGTTGTGTGGGCTGCTGTCTCACCTCCCACAAATTATCTCCTTTCTGCATATGGTGCTAAAACTGCAAAACTGAGGAGGGCTACAGGACCCTCAGCAGATTCCTGGTCTGTCACCTATGTCATGTGTTCATGTCAAGGCTTCCTAAATGAAAGACATCAGTTACCTACTTAGGAAATAGTGGTTATAGGAAGGTGAGCAGCAAAGAAATGTCAATTCAGGAGGGAGGGTATAGGATGGGTTTTCATTGTATTCAGTGCCAAACTCACAAAATCCAAAAAATAAAATTCAAATAAACCTCTACTGCTACAAAGTAGAAACAAAAAATAAAAATTCAAGTGGGTTCAAATAGGCTGATTTATCTTGTTCTAAAATGGTAATCAGTGAGGTGAGAAGAGGCTGTAACTGAGTTTACCACTCCCAGAATGGGGTTGACTTGACCCACTGATTTGCTTCAGGTGAAATATATAGGTGAAGCCTGGATTTAAATGTCTCTGCAATATAAATTTCTAAGCCCAAGCAGTATTTGGTAAATCAAGCTCAAACAAAATATCTAGCTTAGAGTCCCTTGGAGTTGGTTGGATGACAGAATATGACTTGGAAAATATTAACGGGAAGACATCCCTAACCCACCTCAGTCATACTTCACACTTGGCCTCCCACTGGCTGCAGGAGGGGCTGACGGCACACACTGCAAGGAACGCCCGTGAGGGACTGGTTACTCTGGGCATGTACATACCAATTAGTCCTTCCGGTCAGTAAACTAGAATTCTGGATCTTGAGTTACTGGCTATTTGCAGTTGTCAGTTTAGAGAAAAGGTGAAATGCAGTTTCATCTAAATAGATTAACATTTACCACAGAAGTGCTTCAGCATTCTAAATGGATTAAATCACTCACTGAACTATTTTTATATGCCAAATTATTAATGCCTTACATCAATCCACTGATAGGTTGAGCCCCCAGTTAGAGTCCCTACTCAGTCCTGATTGTTTTCCGTATCATGTGACTGGTGATGCTGAGTGATAACCATGTCTGCCTCTACTATACCACAGACCTTTCATAATTGGATCTTGCATTGAAATAACCACGTGGAAGAACAAATTGATCAATGATATGTACAATTATATTTAAAGAGCAATAGTCTGTGTCCAGAAAACTTCTTAAATCTTATTTGTAAACATTTATATGGTATGATTTTATGTTCATAAATCTTACACTGTATTCTACTATGTTAAAATAGTCTACTATGTTAAAATATTGGTGCATGAATTTATTTTCAAAGAATATATAATTTAAAAACATTTTGGTATGTGTCAAATAAATTTGATTATGTAAGGATAGCTGCACTGTGAGCTGAAAGCCTTTCTGTAAGTAAGTGACCACTCACTGGTTGAAGCAAAGTCTACCGTTTGTGTATCCATCTGCAGCAGTTTGATGAAACCAAAATACCAAACATATTTTAAGTCTATAAGCTTTATTGATACTTTGCTTTTACAGTTCACAATGCATTCCACACATTTAGTTCAGTACAACTTAAACCACAATTGTATAAATCAGATAATCTTACATAACAATGTTTGATATTTGCAAACGTTTTTGGAAGCATTAGATTCAGTCCATAGATTGAGTTTGTGACAAAATTAACTACAGTAAGTCTGTGCAATGAAGTTGAACAACGAGTTCTATGTGCATGACATTGTTTCATGTTGAGAACAGATGGTAGTGCTCCTAGAAATACTTTTTCTAGCTTATGTGCTTCGAAACTACACATGTATACCAACGACTGAAATATCAAGCACTGTGGGGCAGCTGGAAGGTAAAGGTCTAAGCTTTGTGAAACACTATACATATAATCTATATTATATTGGCAATTAATATAACAGTAAAATTCACAATATACCTTAGAACATACCAGAAAAGCAAGCTTTTTGCTCCCACTTTAGTGGTATGACCTCGTCTAAACATTTCATTTCAGAGAATCTGCATCAATCTACACAGACCATACACAGTACACCAACTGTGAAAAGGGTTTTCAGTTCCACTTCGCAAGTCCCAAAATACAGCAAGACTACCTGCACCAAAGTCAATACACGGCTTTCTCAGATCTTTTTTATTCACCAGTGCCTCATGTAGGAAAGACAAATATGATTAAGTCCATACATAGCAGCTTACGATACTTAAGATGATGAACAACACATGGCAGTCAAGACAGGTAATTTTTCCTCAGACACTGCATTGCTAAAAATAAAGATCTGTGAAACTGCCCTGCAATGTCAAGGTTTCATTTTTCCCTGACCCTCCCCCATGTAATCAAATGAATATCCCCTTTAAAGATAATTATTTTGGGCTTTTTCATTCAGCTTTGCGCTTTAATCCAGGGATTTTCGCTTGGATTCTACAAATGAAAAGGAGGGAAAAAAAAGGTCAATGTAAATATTTTTAAAGAATTATTCTTTACAGAATAAGTTATTACTTTACAGAAAAGTAGTTTTCTGCTACTTAAACTACTATTTGTGTATTGCTCAGCTTATACAAGAAATGAACTCCTAAGGCTGTCATACTACAAGCTAGAATTTTGCCTCATGAATTAGATTTAAACAAAGCCTTAAATACACATACAGAAATCAATGATCCAAATGTTAGAAAAAATATCTTTCGGCAACTCTGTCACACTTACGGTCTGAGCTTTGCTAGTCATCGTGCCAATAAGATGAAAATACTGCACTGCTCTCAAAGTACAGTAGACCTTATCCTTAGTAGAAGTTGTTGCAGATTCTAAATACTTACTTAGCCATAGCATCTTTAACATTCTTGTTTACAAGTCCTAGATAATGGTCTATCTGTGCCTGAAAGAGAGGTATAAAGGAGTTACTAGAAAATTACCATTGCTAAAGAATCTCACTAACCATTAAGATGTTCCCACAAACCAAAGGCTTACAATCCCACCACATTTCTCATATTTATAAAGCTTTGGAAACTGGCACTGGTACATCTAAGTTCCACATTGTACAATGAGCTCTGTATTCTGAATTCTGCAGTTAAGAAATTACCTGATGTCGTTCATAAATAACAGGAATGCTGAAGAGTGAAATCAGAGCTGAAAAAGGAAATACACAACCTTTAGAGTAGACTGGTATGATGTGGAATAAACACTAAAAAGCTATCAAACTGGCAACACTATTTAGATAGCCAGGCAATGTTCCTAATGAATGAATAAATACACACATCTCCTTAATGCACATGCTGGTGGGAGATACTGCAGAACAATGAATTAACCAAGGAAGGCTGCAGGAACCATTTCTGGCTTCAAATCACCCAGCTTTCATAAAATACAGGCATCTCTGGTTCACTCAGTTTACAACTGCACCATCAGATAAGGTCGCGCTTGATCTGGTTCATCACTGTCAGCTGGAGCAGTCTTCAGGAACTGAAGTAGCTTTCAGTGAACAGTGTCAGCAGTTTATTCAAAGTGATCACAACCTCAAACATACATCTTGTATTTTTCCTACAGTATAAGACTATTCTCCATTACAGTGTCTCTCAGCTCCCTGCCCATGATCTTCTTCCTGCAGTTTTTCTTTACAATGGTTTTGTAGACATAGACTTACCCAGAATTAGTAGTGTCAGCCCATTGAACAAGGCACCAACATAGGTAAAGACCCACATCAACACTGCAAACTGTAAGAAAATAACATTAGCCTATTAAAGATGAAATTCAAGTAAAGTTTTGTAAGCTTTGAAATAAAAGCATCCCTTCTAAATGCCAACCTACCACAGGCACACTCTTTGGAGACTTGGTAAGGTAATATGGACATTACATTTCTATGTCACCAGGCTCACTTCAGAACTATAGAATCCTAGTTAAAACAACAGATTTGATTCACTTTCCGTGGACTACATCACCAAGTAGTTGAATCTCTTTTCTCTGAGATCAGAAACATGCCAAAGGTACACCTTATCCCTCCAGCTCTAATACAGCACTTAGCTTTTAAAAGGGGAGACTGAAAAAGGCATTATGAGAATTAGCTATTAAAACTGATTTCAGAGTACTAACAAGTTAAGTGCTTGAAGATCCACTTGAGCTAAATAATTAAGACATTAAAATCCCGGACACCTGAATAAGCAATAATGGGGCAGGGAGTGCATTATTGGTGAGACTAGGTGCAGATACCAAAAATACCACCTCTGGCATTTTATTAGGGATTAGAGGTGCTGTCTTCCCAGTGACATGTTTTAATAGCCAGAGTTAGCCCTGGGAATAAGGCACCTCAAACTTTCATACCTATTAATAAAGCTGACCATTATTACTGTTCTAGCCACTGTCTCCTTTACATATTTAATAAACACTAATATAGTTCTTGTTATATTAGTATTGGACACTGTTTTAAATGCTTTACAAATATAAACTCATTCCTCTGAACAAGTTTATAAGATAGGTACTGTTGCCACCAGTACAGTGCAGACACTGAAGAGTACAGAAATTCCATAACCTGCCTGAGATCAGATCTCACCATCCCTCCAGGGACTGCAGTGAATTGACTAAACTACTACTTGAGCAATCCTGATCTCACAATCTGGGATTATTGTTTTTAATCACCAAATACGGCAGTTTGGAAAAGGTATGGCTTCTAAAAGTGATTTCAAGAATTCCATTATTTCCTCTCCATACTTTAGTTTATTCATGAATGGCTAGACAAGAGGATTTCAAACTTTTCCTCCAATTCTAAAACTTGGGAACATCACATAGTACACAAAGACTCAGTGATATGTTCGAAGCAGTTCTTGAAGACTTATAAACACAAAGTCAGCCTGAATCTTATTAAATATTCATCATCAGCAATTCCTTTACTTACTATAAAAAGCTTTTGAGTGTCTTGCAATTGCTTTGCCCTACTTGGTAGCTAACAAACACATCATCACAATGGTGATGATTTAGGTCCAGGTAACATGGTATATGTGAGCAGAGGTTAGAGAAGAGTTAGCACCTCCATCACCTAAAGCAACATCAGTAAACTTTTTTTCTGGATAGCAAGATAATGAAAATAAACATTTTAGGTTTTGTGGACTGCAAGGGGTCTCCTCTCTTTCAGTATTATCTTTAAATATTATCCTTAAAAATGTAAAAACAATTCTTAGCTCCCAGGCTGTATAAAACAGGCGATGGGCTAGACAGAGAGCAGTTTGCTGACCCTTGACTTAAAGTATATCTTTCTTCATGCAGTCATTCATTTAACAAAAACCTGGTTGAATGCCTACTATGAGCTGGGTACTGAACAGTAATTAAGGTGTTTAAACTCTAGTGGGCCTATTTACTGCAGGTTAGGAAGACGCTTTGGATTCCTCTACCAACTGTCAGAACTACAAATAGCTACACTCTAGTTACCCGTACAACTGAATTTAACTGATGTTCAAGTGAGCAAATGTCAAGCATTCTTAACACCTGTCAAAAGAAAAATCAAAGATTAAATGCTGCCTTGGTCTTAGCAACTGCTATGGAACGAATGGTAGAAAGGCCTGACATATGATTCCACTTAGCAAGCCTTCCCCACCCTCTCACTTAGGTTTACAGACTCCTATTGGAGAGACTAAACAAATTCTGCATATAAGTTTACTACAGAACAACAGAGCTATTTTTATTCATTATCACCACAAGTCTAAGGGGAAAAGAGTCAAACTTCCACAATTTAGAAGAAATTGCTGTAGCAATAATGATACCCCTACCATGACAGAATCAGGTACTCACACACAAGCTAAAAATAAGTCCTAATTTGGTCCTGAACTCACTGACAAGGCCACATTCCAAGTCCACAAGGGAAGAAGCCCTGGACTTCACACCTGGGTTATCAAATATCACTGGACTTGCCTCTTGAAGGACACTTTTCCAAAAAGCCACGCTACCCAGAGGCAAAGAGGGGAGAGGGAGACCTCAGATGCCTGTGGAGCCTGGCCGTGCCCTGAGGAGAACAGATACACGCATTCTCCCTCTCAAGGAGGCCCTCCACAGCCCCACTCCATGGACTGATACCACCTAAGTATTTCAGAATAATGTTGCCAAATTTTTCTATTTTAAGAGAAAAAAAATAGAAATTCACAGAATTTTTCAATGTTGCACTAAAATACCACCTCTGGCATTTTATTAGGGATTAGAGGTGCTGTCTTCCCAGTGACATGTTTTAATAGCCAGAGTTAGCCCTGGGAATAAGGCACCTCAAACTTTCATACCTATTAATAAAGCTGACCATTATTACTGTTCTAGCTACTGTCTCCTTTACATATTTAATAAACACTAATATAGTTCTTGTTATATTAGTATTGGACACTGTTTTAAATGCTTTACAAATATAAACTCATTCCTCTGAACAAGTTTATAAGATAGGTACTGTTGCCACCAGTACAGTGCAGACACTGAAGAGTACAGAAATTCCATAACCTGCCTGAGATCAGATCTCACCATCCCTCCAGGGACTGCAGTGAATTGACTAAACTACTACTTGAGCAATCCTGATCTCACAATCTGGGATTATTGTTTTTAATCACCAAATACGGCAGTTTGGAAAAGGTATGGCTTCTAAAAGTGATTTCAAGA